GAAAAGAAAGAAAAGAAAGAAAAGAAAGAAAAGAAAGAAAAGAAAGAAAAGAAAAAGAAAGGAAAAAAAAGAAAAGAAAAGAAAAGAAAAGAAAAGAAAAGAAAAGAAAAGGAAAGAAAAGAAAAGAAAAGGAAGCACAGACTTCCAATAGCAATAGTAGTTAGACTTATATACCGCTTCATAGGGCTTTCAGCCCTCTCTAAGCGGTTTACAGAGTCAGCATATTGCCCCCAACAACAGTCCGGGTCCTCATTTTACCCACCTCGGAAGGATGGAAGGCTGAGTCAACCTTTGAGCCGGTGAGATTTGAACAGCCGAACTGCTGAACTGCAGTCAGCTGAAGTAGCCTGCAGTACTGCCGAGCTGGCGCAGTGGTTAAATGCAGCACTGCAGGCCACTTCAGCTGGCCTTTGGAGATCAGCAGTTCAGTGGTTCAAATCTCACCGGCTCAAAGGTTGACTCAGCCTTCCATCCTTCCGAGGTGGGTAAAATGAGGACCCGGACTGTTGTTGGGGGCAATATGCTGACTCTGTAAACCGCTTAGAGAGGGCTGAAAGCCCTATGAAGCGGTATATAAGTCTAACTATTGCTAACCACTGCGCCACCTCAGCTCTATAGAAGTCACTTGATTCTCCAAGTAAGAGGAGAAATCATTAGAAATTATTAAGAATAGCAATGAAATGTGGTAGGCAAACAAAACTGATCAATAATGAAGACTGAAGAATGTCTGTGATTCCTAACAATAAGTAGATTTCATTCTTCTCCAATTCAGTGGCCTTTCTCCAATGTAGGAGCTGTGTCCTAGTGGCCATCAACACATGCTTTCTCAAGGAAGTTATCCATTAAAACCAGGAGTGTCTAACCTTGGGAACTTTAAGACTTGTGGACTTCAACTCCCAGAATTCCCCACAACCAGGGTTGTCCAACCTTGAGAATTTGAATGGCTGGGGAATCCTGGAAGTTGAAGTCCCACAAGTCTTGAAAGTTCCCAAGGCTGGACACCCCTGCATTAAACCCTTGTCAATTCTTGAGACTCTTCTTTGCCTTGCAGACTTCCCTTCCGAGATTGCCAGCAAGTCCCTATCGGAGAGCGTGACTGGTCTGCACTGGAAGCCGAGGGGCAGGCGACGGCGGACCTCCCACCCTGCCGAGTCCTCAAGCGAGCAGGGGGCCAGCGAAGCCGATATTGATAGCGACAGCGGCTATTGCAGTCCGAAGCACAGCAACCAAGCAGGGGCAGCCATCTCCAGAAGTGCTGAATCGGCTGGAACGAATGTAGGTAGACATCTGAAAAGTTCAAGAGTAGAAAGCGACATTAAATAAGCGCATGTAAAGTAACCTCTACAACTTTTTTTTTTAAATTCATTTTCAGATCAAAGAATCATCCATACATACAGGTAAAGTTTCCTGGCTTTGCAAGTTTGCAGCATTTGTGTGTGTGTGTGTGTGTTTGTGGGGTCTGTGTCTACGGGAGATGGATACATTTTGTCACTTTAATCGATTACGCCTTGATGCCTTTAACTGATTAAATTCTCCACCCTTAATCTTTTCCACATTGTAATGTTTAAATACTGTGGGTTTGTTTCTGAACGTGTCCAGCTTTTTCTCCTCAAAATATTTTGTGAGTAGTCAGGATAGAACTTTTTATAAGACATTTAGTAATTAACAATTTAGTAATTACTGGTAATCTGCCTCCTTTTCCATTCTCCCCCTTCCCCCCATCCCCTCTTTGGCCACATTTTCCATGACTGCATTGATTAGTTCTTAAAGATTGCATGTACTTTGAGAGCTTCCTTGTAGCCTTCTGCTAAAAATTAAAACATAAAAATAGAAATCTGTTCAGTTAGAAATAAAATACATCACATATGAAAAACGAAGCCAATGAGAATGGCAGCTAATACTGTATACCGTATTTTTTGGAGTATACGAGGCACATTTTTTCCCCAAAAAAGAGGGTGAAAGTCTGTGTGCATCTTACACACTGAATACAGCATTTTTGGCTGCCTGAAACCCCACCCCCTTTGCAAAAATGGATGTGCAGAGGGTTTGGGAGGTCTGCAAAGTGCTCTTGGGGGCTGGGGAGGGCAAAAACTAGCGAAAAATGTCCCATCTTTTGCTCATTTTTGCCCCCCCCCACCGCCCCTAGGAACACTCTACAAGTCTCCCAAAGCCTATGCATGCTCTGTTTTTTTGGGGGGGAAATGGGCCCTTTTTTGTGAAAAACTGGCCTTTTTTCCTTGTTTTTGTCCCCCCCCCCCGTCCCCAAGCCCTAGAAGGACTTTGCAGTTTTTTTAAACTCTCTGCATGCTCCATTTTTCACAAAAATAAGGCGTGCAGAGGGTTTGGAAGGCCTGCAGAGTGAAAAAAACTTTTTTAAAAAACTTACCTCTTCAAAATCTTGGTGCGTCTTATACTCCAGTGCATCTTATACTCTGAAAAATACGGTATTTCAAGACTGCTGGTGTCTTTAAAGAAAGAGAAATTGCAGACAGACTGATCTCTCTGTTATTTTTTGTGACCTAACCATGTAAACTGGGAAAGAAAGCTAATTCCGTGGATACACATGCTGGTTAGAGCCAACATCTATTTGGCTCTCTTTGAGGTGTGGAGTTTTAGTTTTTTTTTTTTTTNCGAGTTTTCTAACTATAGCCACAGCTGCTTTTGTGTTTTCCAAGCTCCTCTGAAAATAACCAGAGTGTGAGACATTCTTTGTGGGAGCTGTTCCTAGAAGGCTCCCTGGATTTTTTATTTAAAAAAAAAACAAAAACTGGTATTTTACAAATTCTCAAAAGATGAAACGTCGCCCAGATCTTTTCCTTTCCAGCCAGGGCAACTGCAGCTTCATTTTGGGTTTGAAACATAACTTGTGTGTATCTGCCTTATGGTTTTGAACACTGGGCCCCTTCAGCTATTGCAGTTCTGTCCGAGGCACAGCATGGCTTCTGTTTTATTGGGTGAGGAGGATAAATATCCATTACTGGGTTTTTTTGTGCTTTGTAGTGTACTAACTTTACCAGTCTGCTCCTGCTGGTGTCATCTTCTGTCCCTGCAGCTGCTAAAGACTCTACAGTGCCTTTTACATCGGAAACAAAGAGGCCTTTATTTACAATATGCTGCCAATATAAAACAGTTTTTACATTTATTGAAGTAAAATGAAAGCCGGGCCAGTCTTGAAACCCTGCGCTTGGAAAGGAAGTATTCTGCACAAACAATTCGAGTGGATAATAGTTTTATTTCCTTTATTTTAATGGGGTCCAGCAGTGTACAGGTAGTCCTTGGCTTAATTCGCTTAGCGACCGTTTGAAATTACAACAGTACTGAAACCGAGACTCACACTTAACAACGGTGACGGCCATTCCCCATGGTCGCATGATCAAAACTTGGCTGTTTTGACAGACAGCATGTATTTAAGAAGCTCCCAGGATCATTTGATCACTGCTTTTTGACTTTCCTGGCCACCTTCTAACTGGCAGAGTCAGAAAAGGAAGCCGGATTCTCTTAACAACAGTGTGATTCATTTAACAACAGCAGCAATTTGCTGAATCATGCCCCAAAAAGGGCCATAAATTCGAGTGTGACTTGCTTAACGAAGACATTGCGGAAATTCGGAAGTCCCAATTGTGGTTGTAAATTGAGGACTACCTGTATATTTTATTTTTCCTATTTCTCTGCTGTGAAGAGATGGGATTGTATTTATAGAAAACTCTCTGAAGAAACATCAAAGGCAGAGAAATCACAATTGCATTATAAGCCGCTTAGTGTGCAGATGTTGAAACAAAAATTAAAGGTAACAACCCAAATATAAAGGTTTCAGGCTTGTAGTCACATGTTAAGATAAAGTTTAGATATGGGTGTTAGTTGAATCCTCCCCTCTTATCTGATTGTTTTCGGATTTAGATTAGCTACAGTTTACAAATACTGAGTATTGTTTGGTAACTTGTACACCAGAGTTGTACTTGATGGTTTTAATTTTGGCTACAGTGTTACCTTCCCTTCTTTTAGTTTCCTAATCCCTGTAATTATGCTTACAACCTCTACAGGTGACAAAGGTTAACAATTGCTTTAGTTCTACTGTTTAATTCAAGCCCCTTTTTAATTTGAATTGGCAGTGAAATTACAAAACCTTATTACAGACCTTCATCTCCCGCTGTCATAAATTACTTCTGGAACCTCACTAGCAAAACTGAAAACTCCATTATTTTTGTTTTTCATAGATGCGTTTTAACAGATTTGTATAGCGATTTTTTAAAATATAGTTTACGAATGACACCGAGAATCTTCTAGAATGTATGTTTCATGCAGGAAATAGTTTTCGATTCTGCATTGAATGTATTTGGGTTCATCATGTAAATAAATGTTTAAATCTCATCAGCGTTTTTTATGTTTTCAGTAAGACTAAATTTAGGTGTGCTGAGCATGTTATCCTAAGCGACATAGTTGTCAGCTTCCTGGTTGCTAATCCAGTACTTTCAAATGTGTATGTTTTCTGCTGAAGTAGATTCTAAAATTATATATCCAGTTAGCAGTTCAGTAATTATATTTTTCAGTGTTATACATATCCTGAAATGAAATAGTAATAGTAATTGCACTTAGACGTATATACCGCTTCGCAGTACTTTACCACCCTCTCTAAGCAGCTTACAGAGTCAGCCTCTTGTCCCCCAACAACCTGGGTCCTCATTTTACCGATCTCAGAAGGATGGAAGTCTGAGTCAACCTTGAGCCGGTCAGGATCGAACTCCTGGCAGTGCGCAGTGAGTTAGCCTGCAATACTGCATTCTAACCACAGCGCCAACCACAGTTCCTAAATGCTAACCAAATGGAACACAGAGTTATATTATTCAGATTTAGTTTGGGAACAACCATAATTAGAAACAGCAACTGGGATGAAATGTTTTTAACCTCTTCACCAACAGTATTATTTGCGGTATAAGGCTAGATGGGAAGAAAAGCCAGTATTTTTACAGTAATTATTACTACTATTGTAAGATAGCTTATAATACTACGGTAGCTTTAAGAAAATTAACGTTTCTATGGATAATGTTTAATTATAAATTATTATAGTTAATAATGAAAATCTTCAACGTTAATCATTATTTTTTCTGAAATAAGAAAATAAATTGTCCCATAATGATTAAGTTTGCAGAATACCCTGAAATGCAGTCTAGCTGACCAAATGTTAATCTTAAGAGTGCTGCGTGAACTCCCTCCATGTGGTTAGTTGAAGTTGCAGTCTGTTAACCATGGGTAAACATATACAAATGAACAGAGGGAAATGTAATTTGAATGGTTTTCTAGCTAAAAATCTTGGGTCTTAAACTTTGGCAGAGGCTGCTGTCATGTAACTTGCCATTCTTTTGATGAGAAAGGAGATTTTGCTGGGCAATCTGATTTGCTGAGTGTTTTAGTAAACCGAACAATATTTATTTGTAGTGTACAACATTCACTTCTGACAAATTACAGGTACATTTATTACAGAGATTTTTAAGACCCATAAAAGGCTGCTTTGAATTCCATCCTCTGGAAGTGATTTATGACCGTTTTTCACACAACGGTTGCGGCATTCCCATGTTCACATGATCAAAACACAGGCACTTAGCAACTGACTCATATTTATGACAGTTGCATGGTCCTTTTGCGACCTTCTGACAGTCAGATTCACTTAACAACCCTGTTATTAGATTGACAACTTCAGTGATTCATTTAGCAAATGCCGCAAGAAAGGTCACAAGGTTCACTTAATACATGTCTCATTTACCAACAAAAATGTTTGGGCTCAATTGTGATAAGTTGAAGACTACCTGTGTATCGCTGGGAACTTAAGTAACAAACATGCTTTTGAAGTGTTTGCTGCATTAGCCAAGAGTTCTTGCTTTCTGCCATGGTGAAACCGAATCTTATAATTTGAGTGGCATATAAACACCATAATATACATATATGTATAAATATTAAGAGTGAAGTACTAAATCCTCTGTCAAATCCAACGCCAGATTTTGCTAAATCGCATAAACAGTGTCCTGTGGTGATCAGAGATCTCAAGCCTTCCATTCAGAGTAGGCTCCATTTTGCTTAAATGACTTGCTTTGATTTAACACACGGCGAACTTAAAAACTTAGAATGCCAACGAATCGTTACGACCCATTTATGTACCAAGAATCCTTTTCCTTTTGTTTTTCCCTTTAAGAATGTGAAATTGTCTGCTGAAGTGGAACCGTTCATTCCTCAGAAAAAGGCCCCCGATTCACTGGTGATGCCCATGGCCCTGCCGAATGATGGTGGAAACATCAGCGGTGTTGAGCCAACTCCGATTCCCAGCTATCTGATTACGTGTTACCCGTTCGTTCAAGAAAACCAATCCAACAGGTAATTAAATCTACCGTATTTTGTGGAGTATAAGACAAACCGGAGTATAAGACGCACTTAGTTTTTGGGGAGGAAAATAGGGGGGGAGGGGAGTCTGCCTGCCAGGTATTCATCTGGCTAAGCATCCTTAGTCTGGTCAGCTTCAGCACATAGGTTTGCTGGTTTTGAGCACATGCACGCTTTTTATCTCTTGGTTGGGGATAAAAACCAGCTTCTGAAGCAAAGCTGATTGTCGGAGAGAGAAGCAATGAGAAAAGTTGGCAAAGTTCACTCGTTAGCACCCCATTGGGGCTGAAAAACAGCTTTTAAAGCACAGCTGATCGTTGGAGAGAGCAGCAATGAGAAAAGCAGGCAAAGCACAGAAGATCGCTTTACTCCTTAGCACCTCATTAGGGCTGGAAAAAAGCTACATTCAGAGTATAAGACGCACCCAAAGTTTCAGCCTCTTTTTTGGGATGGGAGTGCGTCTTATACTCTGAAAAATATGGTATATGTCAGAAAACCACTACAAGTCTCATTTTTTTGTTGGTTTGTTTTACTCTGCTGCTTTAAGGGTATATCTCTCTTTGGACCAGAGTAATCTAATTTGCCTTGCTTTCTGAAATGTTGGGAAAGAAATCTAAAAACGAAGGGTGTATTTTTCTTGCTTGGACGTGCCTTGGACTCACTGTAGCTTTCTGCTGAGTGAATTTACAGAGCATTGAGTAGCATGACAGTTAAACCATGCAGTTAGGGAACAAATTATTTTGAGAGAGTCTTAAAACCCTTTTGTTTTGATTATTAATAGCATAAAAGGGAGCAGAGTGGGAAACCTTGGCAGGCTTTCATGATACTGAGGCTGTACTCTTAACAATCAAGGTTATAATATTTGCGCTACCTTTATTTTTTGTGTTTTATTAGTACACTAAAACAATTTTTGTTCAAATTTTAGTACATTGAAAGTAAAAATCAAAAGATTTAGAAAAAAATAGAGAGAGAAAATGAGAAAATATATGGAATTATGGAAATCTATAAGTCTTAAAGTTGCCAAGGTTGGATATGCTTTCTTTAAACTGATTTTAGAGAAATAACTGTAGACCTAATTGGATTCCCCCCCCCCCTATTTATTTCAGACAACTTCCACTGTACAATAATGACATCAGGTGGCAACAGCCTAACACAAACCCTCCCGGGCCCTATCTGGCTTATCCCATTATATCTACTCAGCCGCCAGTTTCCACCGAGTATACCTACTATCAACTGATGCCAGCGCCTTGTACACAAGTCATGGGATTCTATCACCCCTTCCCAACAGCTTACTCTGCCCCCTTTCAGCCTGCAAGTGCCATAAACACAGTGGCAGCACAATGCACAGATCGTCCGGCCCAACCGAGCCAGGCCTTTCCGTTGTGTAGCCCCAGGAGCAGAAGTACCAGCAGAGGATCGATGGTGCAAAAAGTAAGCTCGTTTTCTGCATTTCAGAAACAAAAGTGGCGGCGGGAAGTTGGTGTCTTCAGATTTGCACGATTGTATTCACGCGGCCTTACAGTCAAGTAGAATTCATGACTCCTACTTCCTGCCTGGTTTACGCTGGAAGACCTGACAGCTTAGACTTGAGGGGTGTCAAACTCAAGGCCCATGGGCCGAATCTGACCCACAGGGTGTTTAGATCTGACCCGCAGGGCCACCCCGGAAATATCAAAGGACTGGCCCCCGCGGCGCCTCTGCCAGCGAAAATGGAGCTCCGGAGGGCCGCGCTCAGCTCTCCCAGGTTCCAATTTTGCTGGCAGAAGGCTACAGGAGGATCCCCCGCAGCCCTGCTGGGGCCACCACAGGTGCCCCCAACCCGAGTGACAAACTCCCCCTCCCCCCCCCCAGGTCAAACACAATCCTGATTAACTTTGCACATTGATTCTGCAAGGACTTGAATGGAGCTGACAATGT